AAAAAGGTATGGAATTGCTTTGGGTTGGAAGGGACCTTAAAGATTATCTAGTTCCAAAAAGAACACCTGCTCACATTATTTAACCAGCCCCAAATTGGTTAAAAAAATTAAAAAGGAGACACAAACACTGAAACGTGTAATATTTTGGGGGGTAAGTGAAGTTTTGCCTTGCATTGGATTCATACAAGGCCTTACCTGCAGCACACAGACAGCTTTCTCTGGGTGTAGCTGCTCTGTAGGAAACAAGATAATCGTTAAAAGCTCTGATTTCACCTACCTGTGGAAACACAACAATCTCCTTGAACAAAGGCTCACACCCCAAGTCCCTCAGACACAGCTAGATCTCATTAGCAAAGAGACTTTCTCATCTTCCCATCCTACAGCTCCCAGACATCAGCTGAAAGCCTTCCCTCCACAATTAAAAAGACTTTCTTCAACACAAAGGACTTTTTCTGTCTTGTGTGTTTTTTGACACTGTTCATAGAAGTGACCGAGTGTTTTTAATGCCTTATACTGTGTTTGATTTCAGACCACTCACCTGCTGAGAGCAAACACCTGCTTTAGCAACGCTCCCTTCTTCGAGCACAGCACCTGCAATGAGCCACCGCGGTCAAAACGCAAACAGCATGGCAGATACTCAGGGAGTTTTCACTGACATTTCCCAGAACAGACCCATCGAAACAACACCCGAGACCCTTTGAACGTACCAATAACCCTCCCAATCTCTCCGCCGCCTCCAGTCACTATCGCTCCCCAGAATACCACCGCAACACAGAGGAAAGGTGTGAAGGAGGAGGAAGATGATGACTGCGGTAACCTTCTCATGCACCCCCTCGCTTTGCTACAAGTTGGGGTGGGAGGCCCTCCTCCCCTCGGTTACAGATCATATTCATCCCTTGCACCGTCCCACCGCCTCCAGGTTACGACAACCGCCTGAACAACCCTCGTTCTTGTTCCAGCTCCAGAGGGACAGAGGGAAACGCAGCTCATCCATCACCAAGACAACGCGAAGCAAAGAGCTTTGCTGTCGCCACAACCCCACCAGGCAGGAGCTGCATCATGCCGGCCGGGGTGGGGGGGGGATAATTACCAACGTCCCCAAAATCTGACCAGAGGGACAGGGAGGACCAAGGATCTGCGGGTGATCACTGGGGGGGATGTGGGGGGGTGTCTCTGGGGTGATCCCTAGGGGATGTCGGGGGGTCCCTGCCCCGGTGCAGGTACTC